ATCCTGTCTCTTTTTAAATCACTTCTCTAAAACCATCTCCTGTTTGTGGATGTGTTTTAGTTTCTTGTGTTGATGCTGATACTTTCTCACTTTAACATTTTTTTCTGTACTTTTTTTTTTTGTATCTTATTTTACTTTTTTGTATCTTTTACAGCTTTTAGTTACAGTTTTGCTTCCTTTAGCTTTAGCCACTTCATTTAATTTTTTTTCATTAAATTTCTTTAAATTATTAATCGCTCTGCATTCAACGGCATTTTGCAGAAAATGTAGTTTATTTATATTTGAGTGATTTTGCGTTATTTTATATTCTGTAGCTGCTTTTCTTTGTTTTATAGCTTTTATTTATTTTAGTTGATCTGTTTTGTGACAGCTGCCGTGTCTTTTTTATTGTTGCAGCTCTTTGGTCGTCCTGAACACAGTTGAGTTTTTAATGTAAGCGATGTTTTCAGCATCTGTTTTGTTGTGGTCGGAGTCACATAAATGACTGAAGCAAAAACACAAATCATTAAAAAGTGCTTACTTAAAGCACCTTGTTCATTTTTAAAGTAAATCTAACATCTACACGAAGTAATGTTAGATTACTCAGCTGTGAACTAATGCGTAAAGAAATGCACGGTTTTAAAAGTGCTCCGTTTAGCTGCAGAAATCAACCGCCTTTGTGACTCAGTCATAAACAGACACAAGTCGAGCAATTACTTGAACAGAAACATCGCTCAAGATTAAAACTTTTCCATGATGAGACACAGATTGACAGGATTTAATCAGAGGACAAAAACAATCAAAAAGTGAGTTGAACTCCGAAGTTTAAAGCTCTAAAGTCAAACAAAATGAACAAAATTACCAGTACATCTCAAAAATCATTTGAAAAAGAATATCACATTCAAGCATTTTATTTTATGAGAAGCAACTGACGTAGAGACGTGTTTAATTAAGTACCGTATTTTTCGGACTATAAGGCGCACCGGATTATAAGCTGCATTAAGCGAAACAGTCAGATAAGTCCAACTTTATTCAACTAATTCACTATAACCCTCAACATTGTTCAGTTGTAACACATAAAATACAAAACAATACACAATTTTGAGCGCCGTGTACCACATAAAATCGGTTCGAGGTCAAGCACAACCAGAATTAATACAAAAGGCGCATAGGATTATAAGACTCACTGACGATTTTTGAGAAAATGTAAGGATTTTAAGTGCACCTTTGTTACATCCACCAAGGGCGCAACATATTAAAGGAAGACACGAGACACACAGAAGGGGGTTAAACATTCAATTTATTATAAAGGCTGCTGCTTTTTGAAAAAAAAAATGAAAAAAACAAGGAATCCCCAATTCCCGTGTCCACCAAAAGACACAAAAAACCCAAAGTATTAGCTTAAAGGTGGACCTGGTGAGGGTTAGGGTCCAAACAAGGCCCAAAAGGGAGAGAGCTTCTGAGAGGCCAAAAAATGTGGGAGCATGAGCGAGTTCACAAACAGAGCGAGCCTGAGAGAGCGAGCTCCCTGAAACCAGCCTATTTATGGGCGGGCGGAAAAGGCCACAGCCCAAATCAATTAAAGGCTGATTAACCAACCCAAAACCTGTCCAAAAGGACAAACCAATAAGACCAGTGTGCCCCAGGCACATAACAACCTTATAGTATGAAAAATACGGTAACTTCTTCAGTGCTCTCTGTATGATGTCATTTTGTACACTGTATGTGCATCGTCCACGTTTCTGTTTTTTTACAAGCCCAGTTTATAAATTTAAATATAAAATCACAAGCTGTTTATTTTCTGCGTGGTCTAAAATGGTTTCACAATAAACTTGTGTAGTTTATTTAGTTACATCGAGTTGACTTTGGTGCAGCGCATACTGTACTTAATCTGTATAAAGCCGTCGTTCCTCAGTACGTCACGCAGTTCAGGAAGATTAATCCGCAAGCTAACTGGGCGGGAAAGGCACATTCTTTAGTAAAAGTAAATAAATAAAAGAGCTAATGATGTTTTCCATTTGCGTTTCACTTCCTGTTTCAGTGAGTTCACTTTGATAATGGTGAGTGATGACGCTCTTTCACACAAGCTTTCCCAGGAGAACATTTGAGGATCTGCACCTCCCTTTAACCACAAAAACTGTTGTTGTACAGAAAAAGAACAAAACATCACTGAAATCACATGGATGCTTTTCGGTGTACATTTCAGCTGTATTTTAAGTTAAATTAAATTATGACATTAGTATCAGTAACTTTACTTTGATTAAAAAAACTCATTAGCTTAAGACTGTGTTGTGTTGTTTAATGGGCCTGAGAGACTAAAACTTTTTTTTTTTTTAAATGTATAAATTTGTATTGCAGTTCTCAGTTTGAATATTAAAAGGTTAGTTGCACTAAAAACACCATACTTGAACTTTTTTTTTTTTTTTACAAAAGTCAGTTTAGAGATTTGTGACTCTTTCTCTTTTAAAATAAGTTCTAAGGGCATCAGTGTGTGGGGGACAATAGAGCAGTGGTTCGCAAACTGGGGTCACTTAGGATCACAACAAATCAATCAAAATATGATACTTTCAAAACGATATGTCAATCTTCAATACTTGGTTGGGAATCCCTTTGCCTTAATCACTGCCTCGATGTGATGTGGCATTGAGACAATCAGCCTGTGGCATTGACTGGGAGTTATGGAAGTCCAGATTCCCTTGATGCTTGCTGTCAGCTCTTCTTTGTTGTTGGGTCTGGTGCCCTTCATTTTCCTCTTGAGAATACCTCATAGATTCTCAATGGGGTGTAGGTCCGGCCAGTTGGCTGGCCAGTCAAGCACTGTGGCATGGGCGTCAAACCAGGTTTTGGTGCTTCTGGTGGCATGGGCAGGGGTCAGGTCCTGCTGGAAGATGAAATCTGCATCTCTGTATATATCCTCAGAAGAAGAAATCACAAAGTCCTCTAAAACATTCTGGTAGACTGTTGCAGTGACACTGGATTTAAGAAAGCAGAGTTTACCAACACCTGCACCGGACATTGCACCCAAATCATGACTGACTGTGGATATTTCACAATGGACCTCAAGCAGTATGGGTTCTGTTCCTCGTTCTTCTTCCTCCAAACCCCTGGACCTTGATTTCTGAATGAAAGCCACACTTCACTTTCATCAGAAAAGAGGACCCAGGAACCCAACAGTTGTAGTCCATCTCCCGGATGCGTCTGAATGTGGTTGTTTTTGAAGCTGTGACTCCCGTCTCATTCCACTCTTTCTGGATCGCTGCCAGATTCTGGAATCTTCTGTTTGATAATCCATTGAAGCCCACGGTCATCTCTTTTGCTGGCGCATCTTCTCCTGCCACATTTTGCCCTTCCACTAGACTTTCCATTGATATGCTTGGACACAGCACTCTGTGATCAGCCAGCCTCCTTAGCTATGAACTTTTATGGCTTACCCATCCTATGGAGGGTATCAATGATGGTCTTCTGGCCAGTTGTTACGTCTGCAGTCTTCCCCATATTGAACGAAATTAGACAATTGAACCAAACTGAAGCAATTTAATGACACCTGGGGAAACCTGTGCAGGTGCTTTGAGTTTAGTAGATGATTAGTGTGTCATACTCAGTTTAAAACATTCATGCCCTGCAACATTTGGGCTGATGTCTTCACAGTATTCTAATTTTTTTAAACCCTGTTTTCGTGGATTTCATGAGCTGGAAGCCCAAATTATGTAAAAATAAACAAATAAATACTTGAAATCGTTTAAATTGTGGAACCTGAATCTATCGTCTATTAAAGATTAACTTTTTGAATGGAATTATGGAAGTTAAACAACTTTTCCATGATATTCTAATTTTTTGGAAAGGGTCTGTATATATATAAAAAAAATATATTTAAATTTATATATATATATATATATATATATACATATATATATATATATATATATATAAAACAAGCACATAGATGTTTAACAACCAATTAAATACACCAAAAATACTGGAACTCACATCTACTTTATTCAAAAATTTCTGGGGTGGAACCCCAGACCACCACCCCCACCCCACCCTGACAGCCTGCTATTTGCGTTCCGGCATCGATCAGTTTACAAATTCCACCCTGTTACTTGGTGTGACTACTGCTGTTATGATTCTGTTAATGTAACGAGTTTTCTGTAATAATTCAAAGAAGTAGCGATACATTTATGTTCATCATGTGAATAGATACATTTTTTAATTGGTTTTTGAAACTGTTACTTTTCTCAAAACTGTAATTTTTGGAAGATGAAATCTATTTTTTTGTTAATCAAGTGTGTTGTGGATGAAAAATTGCCCCATGTTTAAAAGTATAAAATTTGTATTAACACTATTAAAGAACAGGTCGTAAGTATTTATATTACACAAATACTTCCATTGCATTAAAGAGACAATTTGAAGAAAATTATTTAATAAACTTGAGGCTTTATGAGGGGGTCCCTGATACTATTTCTCCTGTAAGGGGTCCCTGAACCCTAAAGTTTGAGAATCTCTGCACTAGTAGATGAGTGATGAACGCTGCCAACACTTGCTAAATGAGAATAGCATCCTTGAAGGAATCCATGTTGCCTTGCTAGCTTAGGTTTCAAGTAAAAATGACAAATAACCCGTTGGCACTCTAAGGATGACTCCCAGCTACTGTCATACAAAATCTTAGCTCGGTATCTGTAAAAACGAAATATCTCTAGTAAATTTTTTGCCACGGTGAATTTTTTCTGGAAAACAGTGAACGTTTGAATTCGGTTGTCAGTTTTATTAAATCTCTTCTCGCTTTGCTGCAACACCTTATACTTTTTGTTTTCTGTAAGTAAACATTAAAATCAAAGACAAACAGCTCTAATGTAACAGTGGATAACCGGATGGCAAAAGAGAAGGGAAAAGCAAAAGACTTGTGTGATAAACTATTTCTGCACGCTTGTAAAGTGTAAAGAAGTAACTTCTTTTTCTTTTCACAGGTTCACTTCTGTGAAAAGGAGAAAAGAAATCAGAGATGTGGTAAATCTGCCGAGATGAATGAGCCTGAGTATGATGTGGTGGATGACCAGGAGGACGTGCACAGCGTGCGCATACTTCCTGCCAGGCCCATGGACGATGACAGAGAGTACGCAGGTACAAACACGAACACACACATTCATTCGGATCTCACTTCCTCTTTCAGCCACGTGATTTATTTGATTTATTATCAGTTAAAGCCTAATTTATTGCCATTTAAAGTGTACATTAACCTGCAAGTTTCAATATTTTGTTGCTATGAAAAGTTTCGTGCCGTGTTATAAAGGTTTGTGTTGCTGCCTTTTTTTTTTCTTCGCCATAAAGAAGCTTAGACTTTTGAGAACAAGTTCATCTTTGTGATCTTTGATGTAACTTTTTATTAATAAAGTGTTTTGTAAACAAACAGAAGTCGCACTAAAGGGATGAAGGACACTTTCTTTAGGACCAAACCATTTGATGTGCCTAAACTCACCTACCGTATTTTTCAGACTATAAGGCGCAATTAAAATCCTTTAATTTTATCAAAAATCAACAGTGAGCCTTATAATCCGGTGCACTTTATGTATTAATTTTGGTTGTGCTTACTGACCTTGAACCAGCTTATGTGGCACACGGCACTCAAAAATCTGTCAAAATGAACTTGTTTCGCTTCATGTGCCTTATAATCTGGTGTGCCTTATAGTCCGAAAAATACGGTACGTTCCTGTCACTATTCCTTGAATGGTTAAAAAAACATGTGCAAAATAATAATTTAATAATCAAACACGACAATATGAACATCCAAAAGCCTACGAATGAAAAACTGAGTCTGTAACTTGTTCCAACTTTCTACTTTGCACCATAGCTGAGACCTTGTATGGTACGACGGAGCTTTAGGGCCACGCTAAGAAAAAAAATATTAAAGGCCATAAAATTACGAGAATAAAGTAGTAGGATTATGAGAATAAAGCCAAAGTCTTATTATCATATTATGAGAATAAAGTCATACAAGACTTTTTTTGTTTTTACAACTCTAGTTTATTTTATTTTTTTCCCACGAGTCGGATCCACAATGCGACCTGTCAATCAATCCAGTAGGCGTGTCAGCAAATGACCAATCTGAAGCTAAATGCTCCTTGCCTGCAGAGCTGTGCTGCAGCCCATCAGAGCGTACCACCTGCAGCTTCAAAGTCCTGATGCTGATAGTAATCTGATGCTGATGTGCTAACAGATTATCTATCTCCTTATTTGTAAAACCAATACCAAAGTATAATTTAACAAGATGCTCAACATTCTTCATTTTACCAGTTAAAATGCAGTAAACCTGCTTTATTGTGTCCAAGTTCGGATAATATCAGAACTCGTTTAGCTTCGGATTGGTCATTTGCTGACACGCCTACTGGATTATTGACAGGTTGCGTTGTGATCCGACTTGTGGGGAAAGAAAAAAACTAGAGCTGCCCAAAAAAAAGTCTCGTACGACTTTATTCTCATAACACTATGACTTTATTCTTGTAATTTTATGGCTTTTAATATTTTATGCTTTGTGTGGCCCTAAAGCTCCGTCGTCGTATGGAGCTAAGTATGCTCTGGTGAGTATAATTAGGATGAAGCTGAAGAAAGTAAATGCAAAAAAAAAAAAAAAGAAGGTATAAACAGGTTTGTTAAATAAGTGTTGAGAATGAAATCAGCGTGGTTCTGAGTGAGAGCTCCTGCTGAGCGAGCAGAATCTGCTGGTGGGTCTCCAGGGCCATCTGTCGACTGAGTCAGACTGCAGGAGATTACATTTATCCCTGAGCTGAGGTAATAAAACACAGACTGTACCGTCCTGCATTGATGGTGCCTAAAGACAGGGACGTCTGAACGTGGCTTTAAATGTTCAGACCGAGTGTGGTCTCCTTCTGTAATCAATCTGCCACATCTGTAGTTCAGGAGCTGCCGAGTTCTGAGCATGATCCAGAGTCTTAACTGTGAGCTAACACTAAAACAGCTAAAACACCTTTTAGTGCTGAACAATCACTGTTTTGTTTGCTTCAAAGACAGAGATTTCCCATGGTCATCCTGCAGCCAGGACGTCTCCACTGTAAGATTTATTTTTGCTCTCCTACAAATGAAGCTTTCCATGCACTCCTGCACAGCTCATACCCTACATTTTGCTCTGTTTTACCAATCAGTGTAGAGACCTTCCTAGATGTCTCCCTCAAGAGATGCCACACATTACAGGTAAACTTCAACTTTAATTACTGTGGTGAACACAAATGCAAGAAATGTCAGTAAAAGCATTGGTAAATATTTAAACAAGAGTAGTAATTTCACTTTAAATAAAACGGCTATTTATTAATTTAATTATATTGAACTGGATAGAACTGGCATGCATTGGGCTTGTTTTGCGTTTTCTATGTACACTCAGCCATCGTATTATAGTGCACCTGTTTAATTGTTTTTTAACAGTTTACTGGCAGCAACTCAATGTTAGGCGTTTCTGCCATGCAACTGGCTGATTAGCTATTTGCGCTAACGAGCAATTGAACTGGTGTGCCTAATAAAGTGGCCAGTGAGTAAATTGCCCAGAGATTAATTTTGTGGTGAGCTGTTGCATTAACACATTGACGTGAACGGAAACTGAAGCGCACAACGATTACCTAAATTTACAGGGGATTATTTACACTCTGAGTTTTACTGCAAATAATCTGTGAAACTCAGTGGTCCAACCTTCATTTTTAGGAAACTGTCTGATAATCCACCTCCATCATGAGTTCTGCTGTTTTCCATCAGTTTGAGCCTGTGCGTTTTAAACAGCTGGAGAAAACAGTTAAAAATGAAAGCATCCCTCTTTCTGAAAGAAATTATTCCGACTCGTTTTTTAGGGAAAGTTTTTAAATATGTTGGTTCTGACGTTTTAGAGATTTTTAACAACAGTCTCGGGACATATGTCATTCCAGCCTGTTTTAAACATGCAGTTGTGCAGCCATTCATGAAGAAACCTCATCTGTTTTTTTTTTGGGTTTTTTTTGTATTTTAAGTCAATAAAAAAAAAAAAATTTTAATTATTGTTATTATTATGTTTTTGATAAACATATAGTTTTTATGAAGCTGCAGTCTTTTTTAAATATGCACAGCATTCTTGAACTGTTTCCATCTGGTTGTAAAGCTCTGCACAGCACAGAAGCTTTTAAAAGTTTTGAATTATCTAGATACAGGAGACTCTGATGTTCTTTTGCTTTTAGATCTGACAGCTGCCTTTGATACTGTTGACCACTCGATTCAGATCTCCAGGCTGGAACAATATGGTTTAAAAGGCTCTACTCTGAATTGGTTCAGGACTTACTGACAGGAGTTTCTGCATAAGCCTTGGAAGATCTGTCTCCTCTGCCTCCGTCACATGTGGAGTTCCCCAAGGATCTATTCTTGGAACCATATTATTTTCCATTTATATGCTCCCTTTAAGCTCCATTTTTTGAAAATTCAACATTTCTTTTCATTCTTATGCAGATGACACTCAGGTCTATTTGTTTTTCATCCATTCCAGTGGATGGATTGAAGGAATCCCATTGAGCCTCGGGGACTCATTTACGAGAGACCTGAAATTTTCAGTTGAAGAACAATCATTTTATTTCGCTGAGGTCCCTGCTTGACTGCCTCTCTGCAGATAAAGGCTTGGGTGGCTTCAAATGTCATGAATTTTAATGAGGATAAAACTAAAGTCCTAATTTTTGGTCCAAGAGAAAACCGAAGTGCATCTCTGACAGATTTGGCTAGCTTGGAGCCATTTTTAAAGCCTCATGTAAAATACATTGGGAGTGATATTTGATTCAGATTTTAACTTTGAGAAACAGATCAGTTGTAAAAACATCATTTTTAAAAACGAGGCTTTTATCTAAAGTTAAATCATGTTTATCCTTTAAAGACTTTAAACAACTGATTTATGCTTTTATTACCTCCCGACTCAACTACTGCAACTCTCTGTATGCCAGATTAGCCGGGCCGGCCTCTCATATCTGCAGCTGGTCCAGAACACAGCAGCTTATTTTTAACACAAACAAAGAAGCATGAACATATCTTCCCAGTGCTGCCATCCCTTCATTGGCTCCCTGTTCATTTAGGGATTGAGTTTAAAGTTTTATTGTTGATCTACAAGGCTCCTGTATACCTGTCTGTCCTCCTGCAACCTTATTTGCCCCCTAGATCCCTCAGAGCTAATGACCATTTGCTTCTGATTGTCCCCCAGTCCAAGCTGGTCCACAGAGGTGGTCGGGCCTTTTCAGCTGTAGCTCCTAAACTGTGGAACCAGCTGCCTCTTCATGTCAGACAGGCTTCAACACCTCATGTTTTAAGTCTCATCTTAAAGCACATTTGTACTCACTGGCTTTAATGCAGCCCGAGAGTTCACTTTTTTTATTTATTTACTTATTTATTCATTGCCACTGTTATGGGTTTTTATTGACATGTAAGTTTATTTACTTATTTATGGTATGTTTTTGTGGTCTCCTGATTTTGTATTGTCTTCTCAATATTTTGATTATGTGTAGCACTTTTCCAACAACAGTTGTTTTTTAAATGCACTTTATAAATAAATTTAATTTGATAACTCTGATAAACAAGCAGGTGAATATACTGCAAACCAAAGACATTAATATCTTATGCAGCTGTTGCTTCAGATTTAGAAAGAATTAAAAGACAAATTAGGATTGGATTTACTGCTTGTCAGGTGAACTCAGCCCAAATTGATTAATCATTATTCAAGCTGCAGCTCTTTAATCATTTAAAACACATCAAGTTGTGGTGTTGTAGTGTCTGTGCATGTAGATTTGTTTTCACTTGTTTTTGTTTTTGACCATCTTTGTTTTTGACCTGATGGCATATCAGTGGAGGTTTGGAAATGTCTTGGAGTGATGGCAGTAAAGTTTTTGATTCAAACATTCAATGGCATATTTAGGAGTGAGAAAGTTCTTGAGAAATGGAGAAGTGTGCTGGTGCCCATTATTAAGAACAAGGGTGATGTACAGAGTTGTAGCAACTACGGGGGAATTAAGTGTATGAGCCACACAATGAAGATCTGGGAGAGAGTTGTGGAAAATAGACTTAGATGAGAGCAGCAGTATGGTTTCATGTCAAGAAAGAGCACCACAGGTGCCATCTTTGCTTTGAGGATGCTGATGGAAAAGTACAGAGTGTGTCAGAAAGAACTCCATTGTGTCTTTGTGGATTTATAAAAAGCATATGACAGTGTGACGAGGGAGGAGGTGTGGTGTTGCATGAGGAAATCTGGAGTGGCAGAGAAGTACGTTAGACTGGTACAGCACATGTGTGAGGACAGCATGACAGTGGTGAGATGTGCTGTAGGAGTAGATAGCTTCAAGGTGGAGGTGGGAGTGCATCAAGGATCAGCTCTGAGCCCCTTCTTGTTTGCTCTGGTGATGGACCGACTGACAGATGAGGTCAGGCAGGAATCCCCGTGGACTATGACGTCTGCAGATGACACTGTGATCTGTGGTGAGAACAGGGGATAGGTGGAAGAAAATTTGGAGAGATGGCGGTATGCAGTTGAAAGAAGAGGAATGAAAGTCAGCCGTAAGACAGAGTACGTGTGTGAATGAGAGGGAGGCCGGTGGAACAGTGAGAAAAAGAGAGTCAAGGCAGGATGGAGAAAAGTTTCAGGAGTGAGTTGCGACAAAAGAGTGTCAGTAAAGGTCAAAGGAAAAGTTTACAAGGCAGTGTGTATGGACTGGAGACAGTGGCACTGACAAAAGGAGAGGACATGGAGGAAGTTGGAGTGAGGACAGAGGATGCAGAGGACAGACTGAGATGGAGGAGGATGTGGAAACTCATAACGTAAGATCAGCTGAAAGAAGATGAAGAAAAAGAAGACTGTTTTAAAAATTATTTAAGTCTCCTGATGCAGTAAATATATGTTTTTTGTTTTCAATTCAATTCAGTTTATTTATATTGTGCCAAATCACAACAAAGTTGTCTCAGGGCACTTTACAGGAACATTCACATACATAAAAGCCAATTAGTAAAGTTTTCTATCTAAGGAGGCCAGCAGACAAGTTGAATCTTGGCTTTGTTGCAGTCTCCCATCCTGAGCAAGGATTGTTTTGTTAAGAGTGAACTGTGCAGCTTAATATTTGATCATTTCTCTCACCTTTCTTCCCATTTCTGAAACACAGGGCCTGCTGTAAACAGAAACCTAAAACCGGGCCGACGAAAGACCAGATTAGGTACCGCTGTAAAAAGTTCAAACTTTTTTTTTATCTCTCTGTCCTACACCATAATTGTAAATATTCAAGTTTTCATTCACAGATAGGAGGCCCATGCCTATGAAGCCAAAAGACCATGTAAACACCTGCGCTAATAACTTTTTCATATTATTAAACTGTATTGATTAGCTCCTCTTTAATACATATTTCTCTTTTTTTTCTGTTCCAGGAGTCTCACAGGTATCGTTTTAAATTACTTCTAAAGGTACTCATCACTGCTTTGTCTTATGAACAGACTGACAGATTGAGTCTGTGCTCTGCCAGGTCTTCATTACCTGCAGAATGTATCTTGGAGTTGTCCAGAAGCCTTTCTGGGCTGTGTGTACATGAGCCCAGCAGGAAAGAGTGAGTACGTTTTCAATATTTACTCTGAGACTTTTCACTGGGCTGTATGTGAACAAAAAGTGTAACATGAAGTGTAGCTGCGTCGCCATCTGCTGCTGGAGCAAATAATTACATGGCAGGTTCAAGGCTTCCTGCACTGAATCTTTTAATCGTGTCATATCCTTTCATTTTCAGCAGACAGCTGATGACAAGTGAAGAGGTAAGTGGACAAACATGCAGAAAATGTTAATCATCTCTAGTCTTTTTGTAAGAAACAGTGATTTAAAAAGCATCAAACTTTCCCTCATTTCATTCCAGATTGCATTCCTAGAAATTTCCTAGAATCTTCTCTTGTGGCCTCCATCAAGCTCTCTTAGTCTTTTCATTGGTTATTCTCCCACTAAGTTTTAGTGCAGTCTTTTCACTTGAATATTTTCAGAGGACTTTACAAAAAAACACTAATAATGTGTTAAAACAATAGTTCCATGAATGTCGTGGGGGTTACAGTTCACACACTAATACAATAGCTGAAAAAACATGACGTAGGGACACTGTATTTATTTTAGTGTTATATATATATATATTAAGGCTTTATAAACTCTTCCCATACTCTTGCAATGTTCTAAACTCTTAAACCTACTTAATTTTAACAACATACGTATATGTAATGTACAGTACTGAGAAATTTTACTCACCAGCTCTGTGTAACAGCAGCATGGTTCCGGTCCGGCTCGGCTCCAGTTCTGCAGACCTAACCTGCACTGACGAAGCCCACCGCCCCGTCCAGGTTGATGTGCGCGTAGATAACTGAGCTTCAGGATTATTTGTGACTTTCCTGCCAGATGTGCGCTTAATAGATAGCGTAGATTTGCATTGCAGAACAATCCCTCCATTTCAGCAGAAAACAGAGGCCGGAAGCACTGTTGGCTTCTGGGTAGTGTAGTTCTTTTGACTGGCCTTACAGTGTAGTCTTATTGAAAGAAAACTACAAAATGGCAGTGCCTGTCTGAAGGTTTTTTTTTATTTATTTTTTTTACTTTTTATCCCATACTATCCCAGTCACGTAAGTAATATAAAGTTGACAATCATTGAAAAAGCACGAAAGAGCGAGTCTGCGAAATTCGAACTACGAAACAACGAGGGACTACTGTAATATGTTTTAAAATTGCGTCTTTGGGCACTTAGCAGTTTGCTGCAAAACTACACGGTTGTTGAATCTTTGAACAAACACAAAGACACTGTTTAACAGACATGTCTCACCTAAATGTGCGAAGCACCATGACTAGACAAAGGATGGGGACAGAAACAAGAGCCAGGTCTAATTGTATCCACAGCAGAAAAACAACACCCAGGAAGAGATGTCTTTTAAAAAAAGACAAAGAATGCACAAACCCTTGACACAGAACCTGAAAGGTGTCATTCTTTTGTTTTTCCAGTCTGTCTTTTAATACTGAGTTGTACACTCAGTCCTGGCTAATTCTTTGATTCTAAAGGCATTTTGTGTTTGGGTTACTCTAAAGAGGTTAAAGAAAACCTTTAGAATGGCTGCTTCTAAGTTTTGTACAATATTTTATACATATTTTGTTCTTTTTCGATTAGGCTGACTCCAGTTTACATTTAAAAGGTAAATCTGGATTTTTTTTTAAATTTACTTATTTACTTTCCTATCATTGACTAATGTTACAGCTTTAATCATGGTAAATGTGTTTTCAGAGCCACAAACTACTAAAAGTGTTTCGGCTCATTTAGCCCATCAAAGACATTCTCTGGATTTGGAGACTCATGACTTGGACAAAAGGTGCAACTTTCATTTCTCGGTTTTTTTCCATGATGTATACAGCATAACATGTGACTTACAAGTGCTTTGTTTTTTTTTGTCTTTTTCAGGGCACACCATGATTTTGGTAAGTATGTTTGAAATCACCATTCTTCTCTGGAAATATAAGTCAAACCAAATATCCTTTTAAAGAAAGTGTGCCGTCACAACGCCATCATCATGAGTGGCCTCTAACCAAAGAAGACCAGAATGATGTTGTTCCAGTGGAGAAGCCAAATGTAAACAAAATAATTAATGCTAAAATTAAAAAATACAATTGATACCTCAATCAATAACTGATCACCAACTTCTCCTGGCAGACCTACTGTGAGGAGGACTGGTACGTTGGGGCCTTTAATCGAACAGACGCCGAACACGCCTTACACCTGGTGAACAAGGTACCTCAGTGTGATACGAGTTTAAAATGTTCTTCTTCACATCTAAAGCTCAGGAAAACATTATTAAAAGTAAGTTAATTCATTTTAAATTTAAATTCAATTAAGGACATAGTAAGCTTAACAGAAAAATGGGAAACAGGAACCAAGAACTAGACTAGTTTCCATCAAAGTTCGTCATCAATAACCCTAATCCAACAAAGTTCAGTCCGGTCATCTGAACAGTTTTATTTTTTTGTTGAGATGTTTCGTCCTTCATCCAAAGGAATTTGTCAGTCCGAGGAGACAAACAAACGCAGTCCTACAAGCAGTACACTGACATAGTGGACCAGTCAGTTTTCTTTTGATGAGGTGGTTTCTGGGGCCCACCTTCTCCCCCGTCGACTCCTCTGACGCAGCCATAGCCAAAGTGGTTCAAAACATCGAAGTTCATGCTCAAAAGGTTAAAAAAAATCCAACAAAGTTCAGTCGGGTCATCTGGACGGTTTCTATGAAACCATCTTATCACCAGCAAACTGGTTGGTCCACTATGGGAGTGTGCTGCTTGTGGGACTCAGTTTGTTGTGGCTCCTCGGACTGATGAAGTCCTTCAGATGAAGGACAAAATGTCTCAACAAAAAAATAAACTGTCCAGATGACCTGACTGAACTTTGTTAACTAGTTTTCATTAAAAAAAAGAGAATTTCCCGACTATATCCTGACACATTCTGCCACCCAATGTACCAAGTTGTGCATTGTGAAGTTTTGACATAACACTAAACAGTTTGTTAAAACATGTCCTGTTCTTTCTGTCTTTTTCTTACCTTACATTAGGATGGGGCATTTTTAGTCCGAGACTGCTCCATTAACACCAACAGCGAACCCTTGGTCCTGGTTGTGTATCACGAGAAGAAAGTTTATAATGTAAAAATTCGGTTTGTTGAGGCCACCAGGAAATTTATGCTGGGAACCGGACAAAGATCAAATGATGTAAGTCATCTAAAGCAGTGGATCCCAACTCTAGTCCTTGAGGAACACCATCATGGATGTTTTGGTTGTTTCTCTCTTCCAACACACAGGATTGAATGAATTAATTACTTCGAGTTCTGCAGAAGCCTGTTAAACACCTATTTATTAAAATCAGGTGTGTCCAAAACGGGGAAACAACTAAAACATGCAGGGTGGTGTTCCTCAAGGACCAGTGTTGGTAACACTGATATAAAGAGACAGTTTGAGAGTTCCTCTCCTAAGTTTTAACTCTATTGTAAGTTCAATCTCTTTTCTTCTCAGATGTTTGATTCTGTAGCAGAGATGATCAAATTCCACTCCATATTTCCAGTAACGCTCATCAGTGGGAGAAACGCCGCTGGCACCAAATATCCAGAAAACTGCGTTCTAACCTGTCCAATAACAAAAAGTGATGTTGTGCAACTTCTTCAGTGATATCTGCATTGCAGCAAGGACACTTTGTTGAAAGCTGTTGCTTTAAATTTTGTAAGAAATAAAAATATCCACAATCATTTTGAGCACATTGAATAGTAGTATAGTGTTTAGAGAATTATTTTATCCAGCACATTTTGTTTTTCTATTAATAAATCAAACAACAAAATCTCAAATAAGCTGAATTTAAATTATGATTTTATAAATATTCAAGATGAGAACATGTTGATGTATTTTTAACTTTTTCATATAGAATGAAGTAAAACAAATTATTTTTGTCTAAAAAAAAAAGTATAAACAATAAACTTCATAATATTTAGAAAAATACTTAAAACGTTCTGTTGACTGATTTATTGATCGATTACTGTATATTCAAAAATAAATTGAAGATAAAACTATCTTTAAATGCTTACCAATTGCATTTAATCCTTTAAAATCAAATATTTGTGTGCATGATAAACATTTCAAGACATGATCTTCTGTTATTTATGTATATATATACACATATATATGTATATATATACACACATATATATATATATATATATATATATATACACACATATATATACATATATATATACACACATATATATATATA